GAATAAACATATTGTCCCAGCGATTGAGTCTTCTTCTTCTCGGTTACAGCTCTGGTATAAAATGACCGGACCGACCAGGTTAGGTGAGGCACGCTGGCCCCATCCGAGTGAAGCCTGACCGGAAAGTTCTATATCTGCCCAACTACGTGGCAAGCTAAACTGTATCGTTGCGCATCTTTGGACAGGATTCAGACTTAGAGGCGTCGAGTCTTGATCCCTCAGATGGTAGCTTCGCACTATTGGTCGCTCGACCAGGCACATGTACCAAATGTCTGAACCTGCGGTTCCTCTCGTAGTAAACAGGATTACCATTGCAAAGAACAGGTTGTACTTCACTGTTTACATAGTTCAAACATCAGTAGGGTAAAACTAGCCTGTCTCACTAGGGTCTAAACCCAGCTGACGTTCCCTATTAATGGATGAACAATCGAATGCTGGGTGAATTCTGCTTCAAAATGATAGGAAGAGCCGACATCGAGGGATCAAAAAGCGACCTCCTTGTGAACGCTTGGCCACCACAAGCCAGTTATTCCTGTGGTAACTTTTCTGACACCCTTGCTTCAAAATCTGAACATCGGTTGATCGAAAGGATTGCTAGGCCAAGATTCCACGGTCTGTATTCGTACTGAAAATCAAAAGCAAATAAGCTTTTGTCCTTTTACTCCACGCCAGATTTTGCAATCCATTTCTTGTTGCGTATTTAGTGGGTTTAATTCCTGCAATCGACTGTTTATTAGTGATACTTTCAGCCTCAACACCGTTTTTCTCCTCTTGTCATCTTTCAAGGCGGCTTTATACACGACTGCGCTTCGCACGATTTGGATATGGTCTGCTGGCTTGTCGGGGCGTTCCCTGAGCGCGTGTTTGCCACCGCCACAACGCATGACCCCGAAATTGTCGCCCTCAAGGACACTGATACAGCAGTAATTGTTCTCAACTTTCCGCCCACTGAGAGCGGACGTCCCGGCCCCATTGCTGTCATCGACATCTCCCGTCATGGAGTTTACGGGTTAGTGGCCTTACTTCATCCTTATGCGTGTTCCTCGTCTTCCTGTTGTTCGCTCTCTTCCCTCCTGCTCCTTGTACTTTCTCGACCTACCTGCTTCTTCCTCCTCGGCCTCTCGTCCATCTCCACCCTCTTCTGTTTGCTCTTCCCTTTTCTTATTTATTCCTTCCTTTCTTCTTTGTCCTCGTTATTTTTCTATTTTTATTTTCAGTTTTCTTGTCTCACTTTTTACTTTCCTTTCGTCCTCATTCTCTGCGTTTGTCTCCGCAAGTCTGACCCCGTGATCGGTTTCGCAGCCATTTAGCCCGCTTTGAGAGGGCGAATGATTCGCTGGACCAGACGTTATGTACTACTGAAGCCCGGAGAGTTCGTTGGGCTCTCCATCGTCAGTGCCTTATATTCACAAAATCTGTTAGAACGTAACATGTCTTATCGAATCAGTCAGCCTCTGAGTGATCAGTTTTCTTCTTTGCTGCTTCGATGTTTTGGTGGATGCACGACAAGTTAGATAACTGCCCGTATTGCTAGTCCTCATCTCAACGGAGGATAGTTGAGTCCGTGTGCTTGGGCTGATTGTTCTTTTGCTTTGCAATCGAGTGAGACGAGAAAATGGGGGTGGGGGGTAGCACTCGTGATTGGTTGAGTCCACGCTCACATCGTCTCCCGTATCGTCTCGGCGTGCGTCCCTGGCGTTATGGCGCGCGGCCTTTGCAC